CTTGGAAAACTGGACATTGGAACGGGCGAACCGACGGGTGGCAGACAGGAAGGAGGACGCGATGGAGGAAGAGAAGGGGCGTGACGCAGACGGTCAGGTGGATGACGTGCGGGTAAAGAGGCGGGAGGCAGGGTTGGGGGGAGCCTTGTCAAGCAGCCCGTCCCTTGTAACGGGGGAGGAAGAACCCACGGGAAGAGGGAGGAAGGACGAGGTAGGGAAAACGCTGGAGGAGGAGGAGGAGCTCTTGCAGCGGCACGAGGACACTAGGAACAAACATCCTTACCCGACAGGCCAGCATACTCACCAGAGCCAAGGCACCCTCCGTGCACGCAGTTTCTGAACGTGCGCTTGCCGTGTGTTGAGGAGCTTGCTTCGGATAGGGTCGTCCCTTTTCCTTCCCCCCCGCCCCTTCGGTCCTCTTTTGTCCCTCTCCGTGCTCTCCTCGAATTCTTCTGCCACCATCTCTTGGCCGTCGGTTGGATGCAAACGTTTACGTTCCTACAATTGTTTTCTCAATCAGGCACGATCCAAGCCTGTGTTCGACAGCTGTCATCCTTTGCCGGCATGGCCCGAGAACCGCCCTGCAGCAAGAGCGATAATGTTGGAGAGGGCAGCAAGCAGAGCATTGAGAAAGCCGAGAAATGCCGAGGCTTCAGCGCGGCCGTTCACGCCTGGGCCGAGGAAGAGACGCAGGTCGACAAGCAAGAATGACCCGATGTGAGCATGTCGGGAGTTAGAGGTGAGGCATGCGCCCGCTACAGAAATTGGAAGGGGAGAGACATGGGCATTTTCCCGCGAATACATCGGAATTTTCTGGCATGGTGGGCGGTGCCATCTCTCCAGTCTTGGCGCGTGTAAATCCAAGGGAGATGGCGTCATTACCTTGACCTTCCTCGACGTGGTTCGCTTTCTCATTTACCTTCCGCGCGGGCACGTATGTGTACTACTTTCACACAGTTTCTGTGGGAGCTGCCACAGAGCAGAATATAAGGCCATCCTCGATAGCAGTTGTACTTTTTCTTCTGGATCAGTCTTGTTTAATTTGGCCTGTCATATACTTCCTCTGTAAATCGCGCCCTGTGAAGTATCCATATCTGTATTTTGAACGGCTTTAAATGGAAAAGTGTTATCATATCTAAAGTAACAGGCATCTGAGTTGTATATCGCAAAGTAATAGTACCTCACCGAACGCGAAAACCTCATTCTGTACTTCACTTTATTTTCCTTTTTTATACTTTTCAAGTCACACGTAAATTCGAGCATCAGGCCGAGACTATTTTTTGGGCTCACATCATCTTAGTTATCATCTTAGTTGGCTTATCTATCCCTAATCCAGGGGCCTCCTCTCTGCTGACTTCGACGCGTGTCCTGAGTGGGTGGGACCCAAGTGAGCACAACAGGCAGGTCGTCCTGGCTCTTTGCGTGTCTTCAATGAAGGATCGAGTCGTGAAGCTAGGGCCAGTAACCGCGTCTCGAGGGTATCTCGCAGTCGGTCAGCATGCGCTTCTTCATGACATTGGAAGCCGTTTGCGGCCGGCAAGCCCATGTGGCACGCGGCCCAGAGGAAGGACTCGTGTCTTGATGCGCTGGAAACCATCTCACACCCCTACCCACGTCTGCTACCTTCCTTGCAGTATCACATGAGCTAATATGGTCCAATTCATCTTTTTACTGAACTGGGGATGTTTTTCCATATCAGTTTCGGGACGTCACGAAGATAGGACTTCATCGGAATTTCCTCAAACTCGGCTAGTGTCGGCAGGCGATCGAGAACTCTGGCGGTCAATGTCTTGTATTGCCGTCAGAGTTGCATACGCTATCCTGTCAGCGCTGCTCAGTCAGACATCTTAAGCCCCCGGGCGGGACTCGACCCTCGAACGGCAGCAAGCAGGCAACGTCTGACGAAGCCTACGTCTGACGAACAAGACCCAGGGTGCCTGATCCATGTTCGGAACAAACAGATGAATCATTGACTTGAGAACTTTGTCCACCGATTATGTCCACTTTTTGATCGACATTTTAACATCATACGTACAAGGATGTTGCACATAGCTGGCCGAGATATGAGTGGTGGGCGTCAAATTCAAAGTCCGAGAAAGGGGTTGAAGCTTCGGAGTTGATTTTTTTGGGTTTTTTAATTTAAAAAAAGAAACTGATTTTTTCTACATTTCAACGGTTGGAGTGAGAGAAAAACATTATGGTTGTATTCTGTAGTTGATTTGTTTGTGCTTCTTGTGGGAGTCCATAAGAATATTGCACTTACATTTGACATCGTATTTGTATCAGACGTCGACGAGATCATGTACCTGTGTGGTCGTGGTCGCAAGGAGGAAAGACTACGAGCTGGTTTGCCGTTCTGTCCTCGAAAGCGATCAACGGTGCAATTTTGGGAGCTGTAGTCGGAATGGGCTGCCTTACCCAAGCACTTGCTGTATTGGATCATTTCATCGATGTGTGAAGTATTCGCGCTCCCTCCATTTCTCCATGGGGCAAGAGTGAAGCACCACAAAAGCTGTCATTTGTCAAATGCTGTAGGCCCGTTCAACTGGACTCGAAAGCTCTGACATGTGACAAGTGACTCGATCGTATGCTTAAGATATTTCTGTTCCTTCTCCATACCATGCACTCTTGTAGCTTTCAGACACTCCGTCTCACCTGGTCGCAATGATGTTCTCCTCGCGTGTGATGATACTTTTTGCGGCGAGCCTGTTCCTGATGACTGTACCTGCATCAGCCTTAAGCGGCCGCACCAGCACCACTGCCCGCAGGGTCAACAATTTCAATTTCTGTGCTCGACCTTTCTTGGATTCCTTGTCCTTCTGGCCCTCCAGCGACGTCCTTGAAGGCTTGGGTAACGACACCTTCGCACTCCCCTATTTTTTCATTCCCTATTCCAAAGTCCCCGACTTGGACATCTATGACTTGGGAGTCTTTGCAAACCTCGTAAGTACTGTGTAGTCTAGACATATGAATGTAGCTGTCGTGATAGAAAGTGATTTCGTCGCCCTATTTCTCCACACCCTGCTTGCGTGCTGAACCCCACGTAGATGAGCAGCACGTTCGGATTTTCTTCCCTGCGCCAATGCTGCAGCTGGAGACTTTAACAGCACCTCAATGGGCACTCTTGTAGGCTCGTGCTCTCCCATTCAAACGTGAGTACATCTGAGAAAAGCTTCCCGGGGCAAAGGCACCCTCGATCCTTAAAAACAAGGAAGGTCGTATTCATGCATCTTGATCCCTGGTCTCTCGCTCACAGGGACGTCAATGCCACTGAAATTATTGAGGCCTTACTGGATGGCCCCCTTCGTCGTCTGCGAGAATTGGAGGTCCCACAAGAGAAAAAGCAGGCGCACCGTCGCATCCAAGAAGAACTTCTCGATTACTTGACGACCGTCTGCTACTGCAGGTGGACGGCGGTTTTTACGGCCCCGAAAACCAAATGGGGAGAGAACACGGGGATGTCGGGAGTCTCTATCCGCTCCTCTGTCGAAACTGTCGAGGACTATGTGGAGACCAGCATGGGCAATCTCCGCAGCAACAAACCTATCCTCCTCTCCTCTTCCGTTGAGGGACTAGGTGACGCGCCGGAGGCTGCCTTGGAGACGGCGTATACGCAGTACACCGTGCAGTATTTCAAGAAGGGATGGAACCCGTTCTACAGCAAGTAAACTCTGGACATGTGTATCCTCTCACATTGGGCTACTATCACTATTCTTTCACGTAAATGGGTGTCAAAAGTACGATTAACATAGCGTGGTGCCGCGCGGGGTGTGCTGCTCTCTCTGGAGACGTGTTGGCTCTCGAAGTCAGCACGTGCGTATCGGAAGGGTGGATGTGCCCGCATTGTGTGTGTCTTGGACGGTAAAGCATATGTAGTGATTAATGCATGAGTAAGGTTTGTGGTATCTAGCATGAAGACAGGACTTATCTCTCATCGGCATTCATGGATAATCGCTTCGTGTCGTGTCTGGGAGTGCTGTCGGTCTTCCAAGAGTAGAGGGTATCAGCAGGCTATGGCCGCATTGTGTGTGTCTTCTGAATGTTGTTCGATGGGTGAGTTTGTCGTATCTGGTAAGTTTTTTGGGCCTGCATCCACAGATATAGACACCATGTCGGGCCTGGGACGATCGTTGGTCTCTTAGGAATGAAGCATTTAGCAGCAAAGTAATCGTAGCTAACGTAATGGGGGAACCTCGTTCTATACTGTTTTTTGTTTTGCCCTATCTCTGCTCTACAAGTCAGACCTGCAATCAAGCAGCTGGCCAAGGCAACATGTTTTCTTTTGCTCACTTCATCAGAAACGCTAGCTCGCCAATCCCTAATCAATCAGCCTTTTCTATGCTGCCCGTCGTCCTGGCTCTTTGCGTGTCTTCAATGAAGGATCGAGTCGTGAAGCTAGGGCCAGTAACCGCGTCTCGAGGGTATCTCGCAGTCGGTCAGCATGCGCTTCTTCATGACATTGGAAGCCGTTTGCGGCCGGCAAGCCCATGTGGCACGCGGCCCAGAGGAAGGACTCGTGTCTTGATGCGCTGGAAACCATCTCACACCCCTACCCACGTCTGCTACCTTCCTTGCAGTATCACATGAGCTAATATGGTCCAATCCATTTATTCCCAGAAACTGCGGTTTTTTTAAAAGTATGAATGTAAGTTTTCCCCCTGTTGTCTTCGATATTTGATTAGATTATTGCTTGTTTGTGGTTTTACGACTCTAGTCATGATTTGTTGTTACTGACAACCGATGCGATTCTGAATTCCTCATGCTCCCAGCCAATAAATGAAGAGCGAGTCATAAATGGAGAAGACCACACATCCCGCACGAACAAGAGATGATATCACTGCAGTATTAAGAAAGCAACGACACAGGTATTGTCATTTTGAAATGCCGCAACGTAACAAAACGTCATTCAAGGTGTGAATGAAATTGCGACGGCCCAAAGATACTACACCGCGCAACGCGGGCGCGGAGTGAGTAAAGTAACAAATGTCCCAAAAAACACGCAGAGCAACATTGTACGCATATCACTACCATGAAAAGCGGGTAGGAAGGGTTCAAGGAGGGAAAAAGAAGGAAAAGAAGCTCTTCAAGGTCTCCAAAACGGCGACATTCAAAGCATTGTTCCTCCTAGAGGGACTTGCACGTGTCAAGTCTGCAGCGGGACACAGTGAGATGGGCGGCGGGAGGAAACCCTTTATCCGTGTTATGTTTTTACTAATTATTACCCTGGAGCTAGGGCAGCTCTGGGAAAAGTATGTCTGCTATCTATTTGGAGTACGTGGTCTTCAACAACAGGCAATCGGGTAGTTTAAGTAAGAGGAAGCGAGGAAGGAGAAGCGGGGCAGCAGGTCCAAAAGAGGCTTATGCAAGTGTCTCGCCTATGTACAAGTGTGAATGTACGCTTGTATAGTTTATGGTGTCCGCAGGCTTTTAGTCATGATATGCTGGTTGCTATTGGAGTACGTAATCTCCAACAAGAAGGGGAGAGGAAACAGCAGCAGCTGCACCACCTACAAAAGCGGGAAAGGATAGAGAAACTCAGGCTGCAACACTCCATGACTCCGATTTACATTTAATACAAATACCCAGGTACATACTTATCATTTTCGAACACAACTCAACAGGCTTGGCGTAATGCCCTTGGAGGCGGCGGCACAGCCATGCTTTGCGACAAAGTAAGCGAAGACCGAATATTATCCACCTGCCCGAGTCTCTTTATTCCTGTGAGGTAGAAGTCTGAAGTGCAAGAAGTGCGGATCCGAGACCAGTGAAGAAATTCCTTTTCCTGGAGAATAAAGGCGTCAAGAGGGAAGATAAACGACAGCGTTGCTCGAGGCCGTATATGGAGCCGAACGCAGGCATGACCCAGCAGCGTCCGCATGGGGACGGTGTGGTCGCAGACAGGGCCGCATTCGAGGCAAAATACCAGTTTGTCCGGGCCATTGGAGACGGGGGCCAGGCCGGCGTCTACGAATACCGGCGTCGCGCGGCCCCAGAGAAGCGCGTGGCAGTGAAAGAATTTGGTAGCTTGACCTCGCGGGAATGGCGCATATTGGCGGCAGTACGCCACCCGCACATTTGTGGACTGGTGGACGAGGCACGTTACGAGAACCCACGGGTCCGTACCACCAAAATTGTCGTGGATTGCATGGACATGAACCTGCAATCCTTTTTGCAGGCACGTCAGCGGCATGCGGGCAAGGAAGGGAAGCCAAGCGTGGAAGAGAACAAAAAAAACAAGAGCGCAGATTGTGTAAGTGGGAGTGGCAAACAACAGGGCACGTGTATGGGAAAGGGGAGCCTTCCATGGTTTGACAAGGCCTTGCTGCAACAGCAAGAGAAGGAGCAACGTCGGTTGCATAAAGTTAAGAAGGGCGGGTGGGACGGGGGGGAAGGGGAAGGCCTAAACCTGCCCAAGGCGGCGATGGACGTGGAAACGGTGCGGGAGATTTTGTACGCGGTGACGCTGGCCCTTGACTACCTCCACCACAAGCTGATCGTGCACTTAGACATCAAGTAAGTCGCAGGCCGCGAGAGGAAGCCACCGAGGGGGGCTTCGGGGCATAGGCAAAGGCTAGGGTTGTAGCTCTCCCATGGACGAAAGATTTGGCGTGTTGCCCTGACCATATCACCTCCGTGTGGCTCACACGTGTCCTTTCCCTCCCCTTTCCTTCCTCCCTTTCTTCCTCTTTCCCAGGCTGGACAACATCCTCCTCCGCCTTGACAGCCAGGACAAGTCGTCCATCGCCCGAGACCCAGAGAGTGGTCGGCTCTCCATCAAACTCGCGGACTTCGGCCTCGCCATGCTGCTTGGAGGGGCGTCGCCCTGCCCTCCCTCCCCCTCTCCTTCCCCTCCTCGCGCCCCCGGCTCTCCCCCC